GACTTTACTTTTATTTTAGATAGATAGACAGACAGACAGACAGATATATTCTAAGGGGGAGAAGAGGAAAAAGGAATACGATAACAAAAGTGGGGTAAGCACTGAAACAACTCTTTAAAGAAAACGTAAACTGCATATAATAGAGCTAAGTAGTTTTGCGCATAATCTTTTGTTATACAATACAGATATAGCAATGCTTATCTTATTTGATGGTTAAATTTTTAAATGATTTTAAAATATAAAAAATGAAAAATGAAGGAATTCAACTGGTCCCTTCCAGTTCTAAGATCTTATAACAGAGCTGTAAAGGCAGACAATAGTACCAGTTTATGGAGGGCCTTACCCAAGGTAAAATAAGCCATAGGAAGCTAAAAGGAATTATTTTTCAAACTAAGAGTAATATCAGATCTATGCATAACAGAACATTTAGCAATAGCATGAAGGATAAAGTAGAGGTGAGGAGGAAAGAAACATTTCAGGTAATGAGGGTCTAATAGTGGTAGCAATAAGAAAACAGGAAGGATTTGTTAAATGGTTATTAACTAGACCTGATAAGATGAAGGTGTAAACTTCAAGATTACAAAGATGGTATAAACAGGATGAATGGTGATGTCTCAGCCTATATAGCAAGTAAATTTGGAAAGAGGAGCCATTTTAGAGCAAATGATAAGCAGTTCCGTTTTAAACATAATGAATGTGAAGTAGGACACAGAGGTAGCCACATCCCACAGGCAACAACAGATTTTACTTCTAAAGAAAAGAGCTCTACTTATATATAGATCATCTAGTCTTAGCAGTTCTAAAAAACTGTGGTCTAGGGACACAGGGGGTGGGGGTGGGAAGTGGGGGGTATTTGAGGGAAGGTTCCCAAAACTCTTTCAGGGGATTCTACAATAAACAGTGACAGATATAATCCACATAAAAGCTTTTTTTTTGGGGGGGGGGAAGGAGAGAATCCTCAACAAGACCATAAAGGGGTCTCAAAACTAAAAAGACTTAAAGATTGAGAGATACAATCCAATCCCCTACCCCTTCAGAAATGAAGTGAAACTGAGTTGACTTACCCAAAGCTACAAAACACAGAACTAGAACCTAGCTTTCCTGACACATAATTTACTGTGAGTATGCATATAGATTCCTTGTCCTCACTGTGTTATGAAGCATTTTGCTCATAGAAATGAGTTTAGGCACTCCTTTTTTTAACCAGAAGGCAACACATGAAAAGCATTTTATTTTGTCAAACTATTAGATCTGCTGTTTTTTGATTCTTATAACTAATTTCTTTTTTTTTTCCTTTTTTACTTTGGCTAGGCCCTGGACTCAGGAAGACCTGCGTTCAAATTCGGCCTCAGACGCTTGACACTACCTGTGTGGGCAAGTCACTTAACCCCAACTGCCTCACCAAAAAGCAAAAAAAAAATTGTCTCTCAAATCTAGACTCTAGGCTCACCAAAAAATATTCTAAGTGATATGATATACTTTAAATGAACATAATAGAAGTGAGAAATCTACACAAATAACTATTTGCTTTACATGGAGGGGAGGGGAGGGAGAGAGGATTAAAAATGTAGAAAACATTTTATTTTTAAAATCTTATCACTTTTCCTATCTGAGTTGAAATGGAATGATAAAACACCTTCATTTAAAAGTCAGATCTACTTTTCTGTCTTAATTACAGCAAGCTCATACAGGAAGACACACAGCAAATGAAAGTGCCAGGTCAGGACTTGCAAAATTCAATTTTGAATGACAGTATTTCCATGATAACATGGAGGATAGAGAATGTTTTGTTATTGTTCTCAGGATCATCCTCCCACTATAAAATAATAAAAAGAGATGCTGGTTTATGCTAGGCTTTTGAAAGCTTGATGACCTTGGGTGAAGTGATAGAAGTTTTTAAACTCATATCTAGTAACCTCATTTAGGATAACCAACTGAGAGGTTCAGTTTATCACTCTTTACCACTTTTATGTGCAACCTTAGTGCCTTAAACCTTAAAAAAAAATGACTAAGCAATAAAAAAAGGTCTCAGTTCCCTGTTCTAACTTACCTACCCCACACATATTAGAATACAAATCATGTCAGTTCCATCTTGTTTATTACAACTGTAATCATTAACTGTATTGTAACAGTAGATCAAAAAAGATCAGTTACTCCTCCCGATCAATGAGTAAAAAAAAAAAGCAATCTCCTCACAAACTTACATTAACAGGAAAAAGTAAAATAAATTGGATATTTTTTATTTCTCTAGGTTAGTATGAAACTAAAATTTTTAGTATTAAGAGTTTTAGAAACTATTCAGCTATTCTTTCTAGAGATGAAAGCACTCTAGCTTAAGCAAACATAAAAATCTGAAAATCTGTTTATGAATAAACTATAAATTATGGTAAAACCCAACAAATAAAATGACTTTGTAAAATCAAAGAATCACTAGGGAGAAATGGAAGGGAAACAGATTAATTAGTATCCTCTGAGACCATTATTTGCCCTGACTTTAAAAGAAACCATATAAGGTTAATAATTATCTATTACTTTTCTAAATTCTATCAGAAATAGATTAGCTAGGTTGTTCTGATTTGCATTTCTTTTATTAGTGATTTGGATTCTTTCATATGGTTGTCAACATTCTGCAACTTTTGTTCTTATCCTCTGACCACTAATCTACTGGACAATGGCATCTGGTCACATTTATTTCTGTTTATTGAATATGTATCTTGGGTATCAAACATTTATCCAAAATATGACAAAATATGACAGAACATTTTTATTAGTTAAGTGCTTCCCTTCCTACCCTACCTACTATTTTGTTTCTGCAGAAACTTTTGTTTCATGTAATCAAGGTTAACTATTTTATCTTTCATAATTGTCTCTATCCTTTGGGTAAGAGGACATCTCTCCCTACCTATAGCCATGAATTTTTATAATATGATATTTAATAAAGGTCACTTAACTATTTTCAGTTTATTGTAGAATGCTGCACAATGTTGATCTAAGCCAATGTCAGAGGGGTTGTACACACTAGTGCAATGTTGGCAGACTCAGTACAACCCTTCTGGAAAGCAATTTGAAATTATGCACTGATAATCATCACTTCACTGGAGAGTTTTCTTCCTCTTTTGATTTTAAAAAATATTTTATAGAACAGCTTTCTGGGATGGGGAGAAAGGGGATATTAGAAGAAATTCTGGTGATAAAGCAAAATATATCAATTAAACTTTAAGAAAAAGAAAAATGTTTAATGGAAAGGTGATGGAAAAAGGAATGAGACTAAGAAAAAGAACGAGAAAGTATGGATTAATGGATATAAGTTTGGCCCTGGGGCAGTTCCTGTACTGCCCTTTGATACAAACTGACCTGACTTAACAGTTCAGTGCTCTAGGCCAGACTTACAATCTCTGGCTCAACCAGATTAAAATGTAATTAGGAAATGTTTAATTCGCAGTTTTCTAAGTCAATATTGCAGCCCAAGGATCCATTTCTACTTGAATTTGACACTACTACTCTAGGCAACTCTAAAGTTCTGGTTGCAGAGAAGATAGTGATCTCCATTATTAGAAGTTTCCTCATTAGGAGGCTCCAAGGTCAATGAAAGAAGAGGTCTAATACCTATTCCTAAGGTAAGGTATACGATTTTGCATGGTGCTAATGTATTAACATACTTCTTTAAATAGTGAAACTTAAAAGACTAAACAGTCCAAAAAGTTTATCTCATCAAGAAAGAAGTTAACAGAACAATTTCCTAGTACCCTGGACTGCTATGCTACTTTTAAATAGTCAAAAAGGCAGATGACTGATCATAAATTTGATCTGGAACTACTAGATTCCAAGCTGGCAAAGCAAACTTTGTCAAAAAATATAAATAAAACACTTATATGCAAGAACAATTATTTATAATCCACTTTCACTTTTTCTTTTTCAGTGCCGGTGTGCTCTATCCACTGAGCCACCTAGTCGGCCCCTTAACTTTCACTTTTTCTAAAGCAAAGTTGTTAATCTACTAGTTAGAACTGCAGTAGTTAAGTGTTTAATTCCCTTTTCTGTAACTGAAGAATAAATGTTTAGCCAGAGACCTAAAGTCTCATATATATAAAATTTCTTCCCACCAAGGTGGTCTATTATGTAGAAGAGATCCATATATGGTAAAAAGCTAGCTCCTCCTTGGAAGTACAAACATCATTCTCAGCACTTGAATACCTTCAGTAGATATTTCTTGACCTCATCAAACCTAACTTTTTCCTCATGGATTTAAGGCTTGCCATAATCTGTCCATACTGAATTCAACCTATTAAGTATTCTTAAATCCACTGAGTATATTCAATTATATCTTCTACTGTTTCCTAATTCACCCTCGACTTTGGTCCACTCAGATGTTAGTCTGGGTCTCTTCCCCAACCCCCATTACACCATGAACTCATGAGATAGACCCTTATATCCTATCTCTTAGTATCTAACATAAGTGCTGAATACATACTCAAATATTCAAACTCAACATGATTAACTTCTTTCACAAATAACAATCTAAACAGTTCTGAATTAGCAACTTAGTTCTAAGTAGTTGCCTGAGGCACATTCAGAGAACTTAGTGTTTCTTTTTCAAGTGAGGCACTAATTCAGGACACTGCCAATTACCAAGCACACAGTTAAGTGGTTAAAAAAGTTAAGTGGAGGGAGGGGGAGAGAAGTGGGTGAAGGAGTATGGCACTAATATATACCCTACTCTAACTTTTACCACTGACTGCATGACTGGAGTTATAGGTTCCTCACCTTAGCTTGGTTGGTAACATAAAGACAACATTAACTTTTAAGGTGAACACACAGAACTATACCAAGATAGCCAAGGACCTACACACTACAGCAACTGGTTGAATAGACTGCTTTGGCTTTTTACTTGACAACATATTTTAGGCGATGACTTTTTAAAATGTTTTGTTTTAGAATCTCAGAGGCAGACTAATCTAAAAATTTAACTTATTCTTTAAAAAGGAGAATAAAACCCATACCTGTCATAATAATCTCGTTGAAAATCATAATCCAGGTCAAAGGAAGAGCTGAAAGACAAATACCAAAAAAGACTGTTAGTGTGGAGCTGTTACCACAATATCACAACAGCAGACTGGAAGAGATAAGGCCAAAGACAGCACATCACTCAACACATACCCGAATCACTCATACAATCAATCAATCCCTTAAACAAAAATTCCTTGCCTCCAAATGAGTTCCTCAGCACCCTGGGCTACAATATACCTTATCTAGATAGGGAAAAGCTTAATAAAATGTTAATTTCAGGTATACACCACAAGTGTAGTGTTCCAGATAATAAATTAGGTCCAAAGACTCATAATGAAACACTTTCACTAGTACTTATCCCCCTTCTGCATTAAAAATACTCCTTCCCAATTTCTAAAGAATAATTTCCTGAAAAGCTAAAGTATTATCTTAATACTAACTTCTATTTATACTACAATACACCAAAATACTAAAGAAAAAAGATTGAAGGAATCATAATTCTTGGGAGTAAAATAATAAAGGAGGCTTGGAAAAACATTCTAAAATACATTCAAGCTAATCTGTACATAGAACAAGCACTAAACTTCATTTAGCCCTCCCACTTCCAGAAAACAGATAGAGAAGAAAATGTCCATGGATGGACACAATGCATTTATAAATAATAAAGTTCCGGACCTGAGTAGAGGGGACGGAGAAGGGTGTTCTGGTACTGACCCGTACATCTCCGCTGCAGAACGCTTCACACCTGCTTTTCCTCGGTTCACTTTTGGCTCTGCAGCCAGATTAATATCTGAAAAAAACCACAAATCTGAATGACAACTCCATCAAGGGGGTAAAGAACACCATCCATTCAAAGGAAAATGTAGTAGACAGTGAGTTTCTTGTGGAATCAGTCACTTTGAAATACCAAATTTCTCAATAGTACAGCAGTCTTCAAAAGGTAGGCACCTGCTAAGTACCTGAATATATATGGGTACTGAACTAATGAAAGGAGTATATAGAAGGTCTGAACATATACACAGAAACGGACCATCTTTCTTTCCTCAACCCTTCAATATAGTGCTTGCACATAAGAGGTACTTAAAGCCAGAAAGTGTTACGGTAGGCTATATTCTCTATACTCTTCACCTCTCCTCACTGTGGTACTCAGTGATCTCCCTCATCATGGAAGAAAACAATCTGTTAAAAATCAGTGCAATGTTTTGGGGACTTAATATACTATCCTCTACTGGGGATTTTTTTTGTTTTAAATAAGGCCTTCAGATAGAGAGTAACATTTAACTGAAGAAGAAGCTATGATCAATTTCAGACATCATTAAGAAATATTTCTGGCCAAGAATACCTAATCTCCTCAAATCATAACTGCTTATTTTGCCCATCTAGAAGGCCAAACAATCCTATGGAGGACTGGGTGAGTCTTAAACACATGCTTGAATGCTTATGAAAGTGTGTTAATTGCTGAATTAGTTCCTGTCTACCTTCTGAGGCCAAGACAAAGAAAGTAAGACTGACTTTAAATAACCTTCTTGAACTATGTCCAAAGGGCTATAAAAACGTGCATGTCCTTTGATCAGCAATAGCACTTCTAGGTCTGTATTCCAAAGAGATCACAAAAAAAAAAAAGGAAAATTACCCACATGTACAAAAATATTTATAGCAGCTCTTTATGTGGAGGCAAAGAATTGGAAATTGAGGGGATACCCATCAGCTAGGGAATGGCTGAACAAGATGTGGTACATGAATGCAATGGAATACTACTGTGCTATAAGAAACGATGAGCAGGCAGACTTTAGAAAACCTGAAAAAACTTGAATGAACTGATGCTGACTGAAGTGAGCAGAACCAGGAGAACATTGTACACAGTAACAGCTACATTGTGTGATGACTAACTTTGATAGACTCATCTCTTCTTAGCAACGCAAAAATCCAAGACAACTCCAAAGGACTTATGATGAAAATGCTGCCCACATCCAGAAAAAGAACTATGGAGTCTAAATGCAGATCAAAGCAGATTATTTGTGCTTTTTTTTTGTTTCTTCTTCCTCATGGTTCCTCCCATTGGTTCTAATTCTTCTTCACAACATGACCAATGTGAAAAGAGATTCAATACGAATGTATATGTATCAAATATCAAATTGTATGCCGCATTAGGGTGGGGGGACGGAGAGATGGGGAGAAAACTTGGAACTCAAAATCTTATAGGAGTGAATGTGGAAAACTAAAAACAGATAAATAATAAAAAATAACCTCCTTGATCTAACTACCTAAATTCTTTTACTGAGGTTCAGGCATTCCAACAGAAACTCTAATATGCAGGTGGAAATTCTATACCTATAGATCACAATTCTCAGAGCTGCCTTCCTCTTTTTAAGCCTACCCTATATCTCTATCATTTTGAATTCTGCCACTGTCCAACAATGCCACCCATACTCACTCTTAATAGCAGAATTCAACTGTTGACCCTTAGTAATTTAAAATTTAACAGTTTTCTAAGAAATAGAGCCCTTCGCTGGGATTCATTCTCCAAACAAGAGAGCAGAGACAGAGAGCTCTATTTTGTGTAATTTTAAGGAGCTTTGTAATAGCCTGCATGTTACAAAATTAAAGCAAACTTAACAAAATACAAGAAACATCCTGGCCCTTTCTTTTCTTTACCAGGCTTGCCATTTGAGGTTATACAACCTCTACTACACACAAAGTAAAACAAATGAGATTATTTTGCTACTTGACCTATACACAGTTTCAAAATTTCAGAAGAGGAGTATTTTCCCTCCTCCTTCTGACTTACCCATGATTTCAGAGCATTAGATAAATTCATGATGTATATCATACTATTATCACACATAATAGTTGTCACTGACTTGCACTAGGTAAAAATGGTTATAGGCATGAAAAAGGTCCCACATCAATTAAAAACTTCTTATCAATCAAAACTTACCTAGTACCTGGCCAGCAATCATTCTGCCATCCTCTCCTGCCACAGCAGCACGGGCGTTTCGCTCATTAACATACTGGACAAAGGCAAAACCCTTATGAACAGAGCAGCCCACGATTTTGCCATACTTCGAGAAGATGGCCTCAACATCAGTCTTCTTAACAACCAGAGTGTTGAGATTCCCAATGAAGACACGGGAGTTCATGGAACGGGGGTCAGTCTTGTTGGTGACATTGCTGGCCATGGTGTTTGATGGCAAGGGTCAAACAGCCACAAACAAGCTATCAAATCAGGAAGGAGAATAATTATTCAGATGAACAGTTAAAAAGAACTCTAAAATAATCCTTTCTATCCCAAAGGATTTGATAATATTTTACTCCTAACCCCAGTGAGTACTGCCTCAAATTAAAGGATTCTAATAGTAATAGGTAGATCAGGAATACTCATCAAACTAGGTACAAGCCCTGATCATTCCAATACTGATCTAATATAATCTTATCAGCAGTCTCTCTACCACTATGCCCACCAAAACATGCTCTCCTCACATTTCCTTCTTGGCTCTTGGGCATTAGGTCTAAGCTTCTATCTCTATTTTAAAGTTCTCAAACTAGTCTCAGTTTCCCTAAGTTCTTTTAGGTAAATTAGCAACATGTCTGTATTATTTAAACTATTTCTCTTTGTGCTTCCTTTGACCAATTAATGCTAACCTAACTCTCTCACTATAGTTTCAAATAGTTCTATCTTAATGTACCCTGCGTATTTAAATACAGAAACTCTCAGCCCTACCCCAAGAAGCCCCAGCTCTCCCTCCAGGGATGAACACCCATAAAACACCTGAAAGCTATTCAAAAGATAGCATTTGTTCATTTGTTAACACCTACTTCTATTTATATACAATCGGATGTATAACACACTATAGATAGCTTAATAATTTTGTTAACACCTACTTCTATTTATATACAATCGGATGTATAACACACTATAGATAGCTTAATAATCAGCATGTCCACATCAAGGTCAATTCTTTGTAAACTTCATTGACTATTTCTTAATCTATCTATAAATCACCTAACGCATACATAGGACAACTTGATAAATATTTGATGATGATGATGATAAACTAGCTAGCTGAACACTGCATAAATTAAAGGAAAATAAAACTAAGAAAATCCTAATTCCTTTAAACTAATGATTCCTTTAAGAAAAGTCAACTTCATTCAGTTAATCAGCCCACACTACTAATAGTCTATACATACATGTTAGCCTTTGTACAATTTTCAAAACTCAAGTCTAAAAAAAATAAAACAAAATAAAATTAAAAAATAAAAAAAACTCAAGTCTATAAATATAGTGGAGCCGTCCTCTGGTATATAAGGAAACGGACAAATTATTTAGACTCCACTGTATTTAAAAATATTCAAGCCCTTCCAATATTTCTTAACTAAGCCACCTTAGATTCTTATATAATGAATGAATCCTGCTCTATGCAGAGCAGCTTTACATACAAGTTCTTCATTTAGATGTGCCCCCTCAAAAAAGCCTCCAACCTTTAAAAGACAGAAAAAGTACTGATTTCTATGTTCCTTCAATATTTCCAATGGCTAAATGTTTAAGATTTGACAAATAAAACATATACATGACTCCTGTTCTCCATTACAAAAAAAATATGAAGTGACAAAAAAATGTCAAGTAAATTCTCTACAAAACCCAAGAAAATTACTGCTAACTACATAATACACTCAATTTTGCTGGCTAAGGCTGCTCCAACAGATTTTAAATCATTTTGATACCATCATGATACTAATAGAACTATTTAAAAGTCAGCCTCATAACCTTTACCCCTTCCCTCTTAACTTTCTTATTCAAACATTCTCCATTCTAATTTAATTTAATTTTATTTTATTCAGTATCTTCCTGCTAATGTGCAGGAACTTCATAAAATTTGCAAAAATGGGAGCTCAACTACATGGGTAAACTGGCAGATCACCAATGGTACTCATGATACCACATAATAAGGACTGTCAGCTAACATGCAACTATGGAAGAACCACTAAGTCGAAGGCGATCATTAAGAGCTTTCTATTAAAGATTTTTTATATGTGTAAGAGAAACAAAATTAAGCCTTCACATAAAAAAAAAAAATCAAACTGGTCCAAGCCTTACTAGCCAGGTAGATTTGCTAGTCTGCTATCATTCCATCCTGAGTGGGGGCAGGAGTTTCCTTTAAAAAAGTCACCAATAAGAATCCATAACTACCCTCCTACACAAAAAGAAATTGAGTAAGGCAATGGAAGCAGAAGAGTGAGGTTTTTTATTAGGAGATTACAAATATAGGACCAATTGGTTTTCTCACTTTCCTTTCCAAACAAACTTTCAATTTCTATGGTAAAACACAAGATGGCATTCCAAAAAGTTAACTGGAAAACAATCCACTAAATCCTATCAAGTATATTATAATCTTGGACTGATGTTTAGTATGTAATTTAAAAAACTGAAGGCTAAAGAAATGTTCACAAAAATCTCAAACTGAATGGGAAAGAAAGTGTTCAACGCGATGCTGTTTAAAAGAACATAAGCTCAGAGCAGCTAGGTGGCACAGTGAATAGAGCACCAGCCCTGAAGTCAGGAGGACCTGAGTTCAAATCCAGCATCAGACTAAATCCTTGACACTTACTAGCTGTGTGACCGTGAGCAAGTCACTTAACCCCAATTGCCTACAAATAAAAAGAATGTAAGCTCAAAAAGTAGGCACTATTTCATTATTTATATTTGTATTCCCAACTGCTAGCACAGTGCCTGGCTCACAGATGATGCTCAATAAATACTTTTAAGATAGAATACTTTAGAGAATACAACAGTAGTAACCGAAAAAGATTCAAGGTAGAGTGCCTCTCAAACTGGATCAACAATGTAGCAATTCATTTTAAAAAGAAGTCTAGTCAAAGATTGTGATATAATTTCAGGATTGGTACATTGTCCCTAAATGAAATACGCAGAGACCAACCAAACTTCCCCACCCCAACTCTGCCCCTCATTTCTTTCTCTTCAAGATTCCTAGTAGAAAATGAACCAAACTCATCATCTGTCTTCCTGGAGACCCCAAAATTAGCGCCATTCATTATCTTCAAAGGTTGCTCCATGCAAACTATCATTGCAACCTGTTATATCCCTAGAACCTAGAATTGCAATGGGGAAATCACTGGCTTAAGATTAGGGTGCGCAGTGGATAGAGCACCAGCCCTGGAGTCCGGAGGACCTAAGCTCCAATCCTGGATCAGACACACAACACTTATTAGCTGTGTGACTCTGTCAAGTCACTTATCCCCAATTGCCTTGCCAAAAAAAACCCACAAAGATTAGGGCAGAAAATGGCTCTTCTCAACTACTGCCTATAGATCATGAGACATTATTCTTCTTCAAAGTGACATAAGAATAAATGGATAAAGTAACATTAAAAGACATACTACTGGCCAATATGATGAAATGTCAAACAGCCTACACATAACCACATATCAAATGGAAACTACAAAATCAGACAGTAATTATTCACTTTACAAAAAGAATTATTAATAAATTCATCTACTTTAAAGCATGAGCAAATTTATAAATTGATTTACATTACTCAGGAACACATTTATTGTATAAAGTAAAACCACAGAATATTCAAGAGTTAAGAAAAAGAGCTGGTTCTGAGTCTAGTCAACAGACTCAACAGTTTAAACTCAAAGTTTATTTTAATAGGAGTCATAAGAAAAAGATCCAAAGTGTGGAGATGGAAAGGGTAGGATCATTTACAAAGTCCTTGTTAATCTATTCCAACAGCCTCATAGATAAACTTAACATGTAGAAAAAATATTCCTTGGATCTACAATACCTAACTAAAATAAATCATTTCATCTAGATTAATTTAGCAGTTCTGCCTAGAAGTAGGAAAACTGGATAGCTCCTTAAATTTACACCAGCCCTGTTATTACTGCAAATATACATGGAGGATAAGGCAACAAAAAAAACCACTGACTTCCTTATTTGTGTTTTTTAGCAAAGAGTGTATCATGGACTCAAAAAAAAAATGCCCCACAAAGGACAGCCTAATATTAACAGTTCTGTAACACTTCAATTACTCAGCATCTTCAAGGGAATATTGTTCTAGATAATTCTCAGATAACCAAAGCTTAAGTTCCAAAACATCGCTAATTAAACCGCTTTAATACAAATCTTTCAAAAACGTCACTGACTTCAATGTAATATACTGAATATAATTTAACATTTTCTTGATGACTTAGGACTATCATCATTAACTATTTTTTGTGCAAAACCCTTATAATAGGTATAGGGCTATTTATCATTACTCGGAAATTGCTGTCTCTACTTCACTCTTTTTCTCCTTTACTGTCAGGCAGAGTGATATCTGTGTTCATCTCCCAATATAATTTACCATTTCTAATCAGGTTATAGAACGGGAAAACACCACTAACCCTTTAGAAATAACATACAGAGCTCTCCTTTGAGACAAGTGAATGAAATTTAACAGGCATAGATTTTGTGATATATTGGAACTCAAAAGACTTTCTGTTCCTGGTAATCAGCTGCATAGTATATAGCCGGGGTTGCTAGATTAAAAGAATTTTTACTATATTTTTGACTTAGCTGTTTCTTAAATACAAGTGAGACCTACTTTTAAGAAAAGCTACCTAACTTCAAGCAAGAGAGATTAAGACAATATTAATCCTTTTTTTTTCTTTATACATATGGACACAAAACAAACTGAGTTCTAATCAACTTACTTTCTTGAACACTGAACATAACTCCTATGTAAAGAAAATGTGCTGAATAATCTTAAACAAAGAGTTATCCTATATCCATTCAGAGAGAGAGAGAGAGAGAGAGAGAGAGAGAAGAGAGAGAGAGAGAGAGAGAGAGAGAGAGAGTGAGTGTGTGTGTGTGTGTGTGTGTGTGTGTGTGTGTGTGTGTAGAGAGAATTTGCATGCTGTCTCCCCCCACCCAGACTGGAAGCTTCCCTCTATTCCCCAGTGCTTACTTAGCCAAGCAGCTCTCATTTGTTAAGGAAGTGCATAATAAATACTGGCTAACTGACTGCCCTCCGTGGAGACATTCTTCTCTGCATCAACCCAGTTCATTTCTTCCCTATCTGCTCCCATTTGCCATTTGTGACTTTCTACATGTACCCTTCCTGGGTACCAGTCCTCTCCATGTGTGGCCTCCATTAGACTGGGGAATGTCCCTTTTGGGCAGGTGCTGTCATATTTTTGTTATTTGTGTT